TACCTTAACTTTTGCATAGTTAATATCAAAAGATAACTGAAAAGCCTATATAATCTAAAATATCAGTTCAGGGACATACCAACCACTGAAAACAAAGTAGGGAGTCTTCTCCTGAAAGCTAGGGAGAAGTGTGGAATCCTGATCTCAAGACGTGGTAGGATGAAGAACATGGAAATAATTTTCAATTATTAAAGGTCATTTTAAAATCTGCAGATTTTCTTCTTCAAAGAGATCCTTTACATACTTTGGAAGTTCATTCTTTTAGTTTGAAGATGCTGTACATAAAGTGCAAGGCCTTCTACAAAAACCAGTCAGTATTACAGTAAGTGACAGTCAAAAATTATTGATGCATTACTGTAAGGAAGGCAGTTCAATAAATGTCATTTGTGAAGTAGTCCAGCTGGTCAATAAGAGTTCTAAAGTCTTTGCTATGTCTGAAAGGGCTGGGAATTGCTTAGATGCATCTTGCAGCTTAATGCTATTTCAGGATGGGTGAAAATTAGAAAATGTTCCCTAAACTTTGTGCCAAATTTAAGCTAAATGTGCTTCGAAGTTTCAAAAAGTTTAGTTAAATCTTTCTTCCTATCCTATGATTTTTCACTTATGCCTCCTGTTAGCCCTCTGAGTTCTACATAGAACAGTGCTGATACTGTGTTCTTTTGAGATTTCCCACCCAAAAGATGAAAGGTAATTTAACTGAAATTAAAAAAAATTGGATAAATAAACAATAGTTTGTAAATATGCCATTTTTCCACCCCTGGGATTTCAGATTAGGGATTTCAGGTGAGGGTTTAATTTGATTGTCAACAGAAGCATCCAGTTTAAGTGTATCCACCCCTGATTAGCTATTCATTGACTCATAAATAGTTATTCCCTCCTTCCCTCCCTCTCCCTCACCCCACCTTCTGTACTAAATCTGATTTGTCAGTTTAATAATGTGTTCGTTTTTTCATTGTATTCCTTTGGTATATATGGTCATGCCAAGTCTCTTCCAGAATATGATCTGAGGAAGTGGGTCTGGCCCACGAAAGCGCATCACCTATTAAACCGTCTTGTTAGTCTTTAAAGTGCTACATAGTTTTTCCTTTTGTTTTAGCAAGATCAGACTAACACGTCTACCTCTCTATTACTATTTGTTCTGGTCTATTAGTCTGTCTTAAAATATAACTCTTTGGGGTCTGATCAGCTTAGCATTTTGGGTGTGTTTCTGTTTACCTTTTGAATAACTGGCTCAGTTTTCTTTCATTCTTAACTATTATTGTTAACTCCAGTGAATATTTAGAAGAATATTCTAAACATCTGCTGTTTATACTTAGTGTATTAGCCATTCAGCAAACCAAGTTTTATAAACAAAGAGCTTTTTTCCAGCATTCCCCTCATTTGACCATAATATCTTAGCACAGATGCAACATTTCATTCTGCACAAGGTTCCTTTTTACATTTTCCAGCTTTCCTGGGTGGCTGAAGTCTTGTCCTAACTGCATAGTTAACTTGAGTTATAATGTGTATATTACCCCAGTTGGTTTTCCCATTCACATACACCAATCCTTAACTTGAGTGCAGTGGTGCTTGTAACTTGAGGTGGGGGGGGAGTGGCTACAGCTCAAAGCAACACTACTCTGTGCAGTAATCCTAGCATTTGCACAGCTTGAGTGTTATTTCTCAGAGTTATTCTCACTTGAGGTAGGCTAATCTGCATACGGGTAACAATTTCACTATGCAATGAAGATGTAGCTTGAGGCACAAGAAGGTCCTGCAACTTGCCCCAGGGTCACAAAGGGTATGTCTACACTACCCCGCTAGTTCGAACTAGCGGGGTAGTGTAGACATACCCATACAGATTAACTTCAAACTTAAACCACAAAGGATTAGGAAAACAGCCAGTCCACTTCTCACTGAGGAGAGCAGAACAAAATGTCTGGAGTTGCTATGCAACACCATTTTCCAGATGCGGCAAAAAACATGGAGTTTTTTTTTTAAAGATCCTTGACCTCTCTGCCAGGGCTGGCTCTAGATTTTTTGCTGCCCCAAGCAAAAAAATGTTTGGCCGCCCCCTCCCCCTTTTTTGTTAGCTTTTACACGTTTGCACTTTGCAATGTTTTGTTTTGTTATTTGACTGTTAAAAATTGCAAGTGCGGTATGCATACATTACCCTCCTAGTTCGAACTAGGAGGTTAGTGTAGACATACCCAAAGGGAGTTAGTGACTCAGTTATTTGAATCTGGGATAATGCTAACTTCCCAAACCTTCATGCTTTATTATAAACATAACTTAAAGAGATATTAGCCCTATAGCTGTATAGATTGGCATAGCCTCCCTTGATTGTACAAAGTTTGGATGTGTTGGCTGTCAGGTTGTGTTGCAATTGCTGCAAATTTATCCTAAGTTCGATCTCTGTCTGTCTCCCTCCCTCTATATATATACAAAAGTTTTTTCCTGCAGAACAACAGAATGTTCCTGCTGGGTGACATAATGACGTCATCAGCGTCAACAGTCTTACCTTAGCAAAGTGAAAGTGGCTGGTGGGGGTGGGAGGGTAGGTGAGCCTAGCGAGCAGAGGGCACAGCCCCCTAGAAACTTAAAGTGGTGCTCCTGTCTACTCTCACAAATCTCTAGCTTGCATTGATGTTTTAAACTCAAGCTAGGTGGCTTGTCAGGATATTGATTGAGTGCTGCTGACACTCAAGCAACTGCATGCTCTGTGGATGCATGTAGAGTCCGCTTGAGTGCTGACAGGTCTCTAATGCTGTTGTGTTCACTTACTTGCTCCCTGGTTCAGAACTAAATGTTACCTCCAGCTTTATAAATAGCCTATTTGGTCTGCAGACCCTGCCTTAGCATGCTGCTTTCTGCACCCATAATATTTACATAGCACTCCTCTTGCACGGCTTCAGATCAGATGGCATCTGAGAGAGCACTTTCCCAGCATGCATCTCAGTGGCCTGAGGCAGACACCAGTGTACTTGTGGACCTTTGGTATGAGACTAGTGAGAATGATTTCAGGTCTAGGCCAGTAAACTTGTTGAGAATGGGATTTACTGGACTAGAGAAGATAAAATCCATGACGAACTTGTACTGCCAGGCAAAGAACCACAAGTCCTGGCCTGATGACTGCTATAGACTGTCCCCACTCCCTGAGGAGCTGCACTGGGTGCACAGCAGTGTCCCAGTCATGGAACCCAAGTAGAACCTTGACACTTCAAAGGCTCCCTGGAATGTGTGAGAACTCAGATGAGGACTGTAGAGCCTGGGTCCGTACCAGCCACTGCAGTCACAGATGAGGCAGAACAGAGGCATAGCTAGTTTGACCTCGTCCAGGACTTCCAGGGGAAGAGCTGGAGAAACAGCCTAAGAAGGATGCAGCAGGGGACCCTGTCACCTCATTTGGGTAAGAGAGTGAGCAACTTGCCCTTGTATGGTTAGGGCGGATATGAGGACATATCTCTATTACTGTGCAGGAGGAGGTGCTAGAGGACAGGCCTTTTCAGGTTCACTTTACGGATAGGTGGAGGAATGCCCCGTGCCCAGCAGAGTTACAGGAAGTACTCTGATTATGTGTATTTTCATTACACATGGCATGGTATTGTACTCCCTGTACTCTTCTACTTTTTGTCAGCTGCACTAGCTGTGTTACTCTCTCAATAACATCTTTTGTTGTGCTGCCCCTTGGTATGTAAGGGTATGTCTACACTACCATCCTAGTTCGAACTAGGGTGGTTAATGTAGGCAACCGAAGTTGCAAATGAAGCCCGGGATTTAAATATCCCAGGCTTCATTTGCATTTTACTGGGTGCCGCCATTTTTAAAGCCCTGGTAGTTCGGACTCCGTGCCCGCGGCTACACGCGGCACGGAATAGGTAGTTTGGATTAGGCTCTCTAATCTGAACTACCGTTACTCTTCGTGGAACGAGGTGTACCGGTAGTTCAGATTAGAGAGCCTAATCTGAACTACCTACTCTGTGCTGCGTGTAGCCGCGGGCACGGAGTCCGAACTACCGGGGCTTTAAAAATGGTGGCGCCTGGTAAGATGCAAATGAAGCCCGGGATATTTAAATCCCAGGCTTCATTTGCAACTTCGGTTGCCTACATTAACCACCCTAGTTCGAACTAGGGTGGTATTGTAGACATACCCTATGGAATTTGGGAACAAGACTGATATGATTGTATTGAACTGCCTTGAGTGCAGGAGACTGGACTAGATGATCTCCTTAGGTTCCTTCATGTCCTATATTTGTCATGGTTTGCCATTATATATTCAAGTGCTTGATTCTCATACAAGTACAGCATATTACAGTAAGTGCTTACATTCTCTTATTTTCCCCCTCCAACCAAAGGAATCTGTTAGTTCCCTAACACTTTCAGAGTCAGGCCTTAGCTGGTGCACATTCTGGCTGCCTGTAATGATTTTGTAAAGTGGCACAATCATTGCCCCAGTCTTTCCCAGCATATTCTTCCTTAGCTTAACGTATGTTGTGCAGAACACAGCGTGTCGCAATAACATGATTGGCATTACAGAAGCTGCGGTCGAAATGGTTTTGTAAGCAATGTTATCTGACCTTCAGTCAGCCAAATACACAGTTCACCAACATCATGCAGATGCACATGATACAGTTAAACTTTCTCCAGATTTCTTCACATCAAAGTAGGGCTTTGTGAGCCAGGGCAGTAGAGGGTAAGCTGGTTCTCATAGACATCCTGCTATTATCCTGGGGAAGCGGGAAGGAGGTGGGGAGTTCCAGCTTGCTAAATTTCAAAAAGGCAGAATTTCCAAAATACGCTGGAGTTATGCTCTCTGCTAGCACATCCCATAAAGTTTGAGCCCTGAAAATCCACAGATACATGCTTTATATCTGTGGGTATCTGTGAATGTGGACACAGGTATCCGCAGCTCATTTTTGCTGATATGGATGTGGATGCAGATACTAATTTTCTATCTAGAACCCTGCAAATTTTCAGATATCAGTTTTATATCTATGGGCATCCGCATTCGCGGATGTCAGTGCAAATACCTGTGGCCTATCTTTGCAGATACAGATTGTTTGCTCAAAGATTGCCATTATTTCATGAATACTTCCAGTTTTCACCAAACTACCATCCACTAAAACTATAATTGCTTTGCAAAACTCCATCACCACAGTACCGATGGTTGATTTCCCAATGCCAAACTGATTAGCCACTTGAACTGTATTAGTCGGGAGAAGCCAGCTTCCAGATAACAGTAACACACTTTTGAATGTGTACGACTTGTCTCATGCACTTACCCTGGCTGGGAAAAGCTCCTCTCTCAGCTCCAGAAAGTTGGTGGAAATGCTGGGTCTGCTATTAGTCATCCCAGGTTTGCCGTACATTGCATTCCCACTACGGATGTAATAGTATAGTTGATTAACCAATTAACCAATAAGCAAAAGCTTTTAGGTTAATACTATAGACTACACGCATTTTTCCCCCTCCCCCGACAGTAAGTTTTTTAGCAGGCTGGCCAGCAGTCCAACTCAGTCTTGGCTCATGTCGGATCCAGGACCTACCTCCGCTGCGGCTCTATATTTAAAGTGTATTAGGAACCAGGTGGGTAGGCAAGCTGGCTCAGTTCTGGCTTGCGCTGGGTCCAGGAGCTCCCTTCCTCCGCACCTGGACAGGGGCTGCTGCCATCTGTGCTGCTGCTTCTGCATCAGAGGCAGCAGCGTGGGGTGGTAAGTAGCCCATCCGCAAGGGGAGCTGTTTTTTAAACGGGCTTCCCTCGCAGACCAGCTTCCACCTGGCCAACTGCGCTGCCGCTTCTGGTACAAAGGCAGCACTGTGGAGTGGCAGGGGGCTCCTTGAGAGTGGGCCCAGAGAGCACTGGTGGCCAGTCCCACCCCTGGGGACTATAGAATAGTCAAATAACCAATAAGAATTCATGAGGTTACTCGACTATTAAATTAACCGATATGTAACATCCCTAATTCCCATCACTGGGTATTTTGGAACAGCTGGTCAGCAGTGTTCCCTCGAAGCTGGCCAGCAGCACAGCTTCACAGGTGATTAATCAGTCCCACCCAGTCAGTCAGCTCCTGTGAAGCTGTGCTGCCTGCAGCTTGGAGGGAACACTGGTCAATATAAAGAGAATTCTCAGCTATGACAACCTGCCTGAGCTGTCTCTGTCCTTTCATCTTGCCTGCTTGCAGCCTGTGGGATCTCCTTAGCAAAGTATGTTGCCAGCTTCTAAGGGCAACAAACTGGTGCCAAAAGACTGCTCCACATCTCCCATCCTTTATCTGTCCACGGTTCCCATTAATGCCAATATTTGGTACACATTCATTCTGAGTGTGATTTGGGTCTTCACATGGAAACACAAGCTAGGGACACAAAACCTGAAGTTGTATACTTGTGGTGAGTTGATGATGTAAGACCTCTTCTGTACATGTGCCCAGAAAGTACAGACAACTTTTCTCTTAGTACGTCACAAAAGTGAGACACGAGTGTAGCACCAAGAACCAAGCAATATGCCTCTGAAAGACCTACCATCTCACTTGGTTCATTACAGCACCCTGGTGCATTCAATAATTCTAGTATGGCTACAGTTACCTTTGCAGTGTGATTGTTGCCATCCAAGCTAAGCTAGCTCCAGTGGAGAAGTTCAAATGTTGTAACTCAAGTTAAATTTGCAGTAAAGATCTACCTAAGAATGTGAATCTTTGTCGCCATCTGGTAGCTGGTCCACATCAAAGGTTTGAATTTCTGCTAGCTACATTATTTTGTCCTCTAGTTTAGGTGGTAGAAGTTGTTAATTTTAACTGTCAAGGTCTTGGATTCAAATCCTTCTGTTAGTCTAAGCCATTTTAATTTTACAGGGCTCATCCAGCTTTAGACTTTTTATGGGAGTAGAGTGGTGTGAATTAAAGGGATATAAGTTAGTTTGTTGATCTATTGATTCTTCTGATAAGCTCTTTCACTGGATTTTTTTGGGGGGCAAATTGTGAATAATTATGACTGGCAAGTACTATTATTGGTTTCTGTGCTTACATTGTACATTAATAGTTTGTGTTGTGTAGGATAGGTGGTTTTGGAGTAGACTTGCAGAATAAACAATTTTGAAATGAAATAGCCTTTCTCTTTTCCATTTAGACAAGCCCAGCGATTCCAAAGTATAGACCACATCCTCATCTGGTGTCAATCTGAATGGCTGTGTTGAAGTCAGAGGTTCACTTCAGCATATGCGCACTGATTTATACTAGCTGAGAACTGGCCCTCTAAGTTTCAGTAACATGAGAAACTTCTGCTGACATGGCGATGTCAACTGCAATAAAACCAAACATATTGCTAAATATTTGTAAGATCACCAAAGCAAACATTTGATATCCGGCCCCTTTATGATTTTCCTCTTTCAAATTCATTCCTTTCATGTCCACTATTGCCATGCAGTGGCCTCGACGGGCTATATGGGAGCTAAGGGTGCTGGGAGCTGCTCATAAATAGTGCAGCTAGTCTTCTGAGAGTTGGTTCATCATTTGCAAATTCTTTCTCATCAAAGGGAAAAAAACATCTCTCTAGAATCAGTCATGTGTATGTTGCTCTGTCATATGTACTACCATGTGTTTTCTTTTGTGATACATTGGGGGTGGCTTTTTTTAACTATGCATAGTTGAAGTGGTCTTGCTTCCCTCGCTTAACAAAAAGAATTCATGTCAATACGGGAATACTGCCAAGGTTGTTAGTCTTTAAAATTAACAGCTGTACAATATAGTAACGTGTATTAATGACTGCAGACATGCAGTTTTCTAAACAGATTCTGCCTTGGTACTTACCCCAGCAAACACACTTTTCTTTGGACAATGGTTTACATTAACTAGTTTATGTATAGTAAAACTTGAGTAAATTAGTGCATTTTGTTTTTAATATTTTTTACATCTGCTGTTATAGCTTACAGAGGTTTCATTTTTACAGGGTATGCATAGTAAAACAGGAGGCAGTTCTGTTAAATTTAGCATAGTAGCAAGGTATCCTTTACAAAAAAATAAAATGTTTAGCTTCAGTTTGATGTGTTTGCTGCTCAGCTGAAATGTGATCAAATGTTAATCTTAAACAGGAATTGAAAATGCTTTCTTTCAACTTTTGCAATCTGAATTCAGGAGAATCTGTCAACTCTGCTGCTTAGGGCTTCTGAGAATAGTTGATCAGTTCTTATTCCATCATGTAGGAGCCAGTAGTACAAATACACATTAGTCAGGTCATTATGGTATTTATTTATGTTTCAAGACTTGTTCTTTCTCCTGTTAATATTTAGACCACAATTTTCAAATCTGTCTGTCTAAATGTAGGCACTAAAGTGATGGCTCGGCATCTTAATAAAAGTGGTCTTATTTTTCAGAGGTGCTTTTGTGGCTCCCATTCACTTAAGTGAGATTTGTGGGTGCTTGTCATTTCTGTAATTTGTACTGGTTTTGTTTTGGTGCTTACGTATGGTTTGAAAATGTTGCCTTTAGAATCTTAGGGAGTACATTTTTTTTCACACACAATAATTCAAAGCATAAAAAGCTTTGCATGTTAGTTTTAGCACCTGATGACCTCAGTAAGAGACCTTTGGGAAATAAAAGGCTTTCTCAGGATACTTTTTATTATCTTTCATTTGGTACAGTGGTGATGGTGAAGCATAAAACTTTGACTTTTGTCTTTAGGTTTGTAATTTCAAATTATTTTTCTTTTGTATCTACTGCTATGATAAGAGCACAAAAATACAAAAGTGTGTATTTACTGTTTGAGGGCATTCAGGGGATATCTGAGTTTTGGAGATTGGATCTGCATTGTGCTGAAGTAGAAAAGAGAGGAACTCAGATGTGTTACTTGTCATGGTTTTTTTTTTCTTACTGCTGAAATGTCAAACTAAAATACATCAATATCAGTGCATGCTGTGCTGTTCTCATTCTCCATGTTTTACTTTGGAAAACACCAAATGATTCTAGCTGCATGATTGAAAACTGTTTCCTCTTTTTTTATTGCCTGTCTTCTTTTGTAGTGAATAGACAACATTTCTCTGTCATTCCTTTCCCATTTCACAAACTGAAGCTGCTGAAAACATTTCTGCTTGACATAAAAGGGTAAACTTCAGGCAAAATGGGCTGAAATGAATTAATTTGAATGCTACATTTTTGAATCCATTTACAATAAAACCTGATGGCAACACACTTTAGGCATCTAATTATGAGGAATATTGCGAGATCTGTATATATCTTTCTTGCTCCCTCCCCCATGATACTGTGGGTTTTTCTTGCACTTCTTTTTTAAAAAATCTTTAAAAAAAAAAATCCTCTAAAAATTAATTGCTATTACTCTGTACTTTCATATAAGTGTCAATAAGTCCCGGTCTACAAGTGGTGCATCCACACTACTAAGCCCATTATTTCAAAATAATGGGCTGGTTATTTCGAAATAACAACTCCTATTTTCCATGAGGAATAATGCTTATTTTGAAATAGTTATTTGAAATAACTTCTCCCCGGAGTCATTCAAAGTAATTACTCCCCAGTGCTTCATGGGGCTTTAGGTTGAGGTAGCGCATCCACGTTAAGGAAGCCTGCCTCAGCTTTTATTTTTATTTTATTTTATTTTATTGATTGATTGATTGATTGTTTTTTGAGGCTTCCCTGTAGTGTAGACATACAATATTGAAATAGCTATTTCGGTAGTTATTTTGAAATAAATTATTTTAAAATAATTTCCTAGTGTAGACATGCCCTAAGAGACGCGTAAGCTAGCATTTGGTAGCGCCATATGCTCTTCCACAAGGCTGATCCTCAACTTCAAATTCTTCAGAGTATCCCATTATTTGGGCAAGGCCTGAAGGGTGCTGGCTTCTCTCTGTAAAGATGAGGAAGTGTACTGAAGTGGGAGGGCTCTGATGTTGGCTTTTTGTGTAGAAAGTGTAACACAGTGTGCTAGAATGTGTGTGCTAGATAGAAGGAACTGGGAGTGCGAAGAAGTTGGAAAGTAGGTGTGTTGATTGGGTTAGGAGAGACCTCCTGTTAGAGAAAGAAATGTGGTAATATACAGGCAGTCCCCGAGTTACGCGGATCCGACTTATGTCGGATCCGCAGTTACGAACGGGGTTTGCTCCGCGTCTCCCTGGTCTGCTGGAGACCAGCAGACCAGGGAGACGGGGAGCAAGCCAGCAAAGATAAAGGTAGATCTGGAATTTTCCACCATAATAAAACTACTAATTATTAAAGCATGGTAAAAGTGCACACTCTCCATACACTGACTTTGCTAGAGACATCACTGGCTATAACACAAATTAAGGAGAAGAACACAACATTGCATTCACCTCTTGCCAAGAACAGAGTCTGTATCAATACTAAGGTGTGTGTGCGTTCGTTCCTCCCCCTCCCCCTCTCCCCCTCCCTCTCCCAGAACTCACCTGTGCGAGCTTGGAACCTGGGCTCTGGCATGGTGAAAGAAGGCTGCAGTGACAGGATTACAGGTGCCTGACCTTGAAGAAGATTGCTGTTCATAAGCACGTTTATGACAGCTATTGCCGTGTAAACAAAAGGACCTGATGTCACCAAGAAAGAGAATTTTGGGGAAATTTTATAAACCTATGGAAAAGAAATAGAATGATCAGCATCAATTTTGGCAATAGTACTCACACCTCTATTGCACAGTTCAGCTAATGATCCTAAAGCACTTTACCTACATGGATGAATTAAGCAGCTCATCCTTAACGGGTAGGAAAATACCTTAATTTTACAGATGGGGAAATAGAAGCACACAAAGTCAGAGAGCTGGAAAAAGAATGAGTGATTCCATTCCAGCCCAGTCCCTTTGAAGAGTTTACCCAATTAAAAGTTGAGTACATTCACCCTTTGCTTTTACATAAAGCACTGGAGGGATTTAAATAGCCATGAAGTCGGGACTTGAGTTTTATGTATCATCTCTAACAGCACGGTATTCACCACTCTGCACTATGTTGGAGTGTACTATAGGCTCTATAGCAATGCCTGGCTACCTACTTAAACAAAAGCATGACTTCTTGTTTATTGAACATGCATATGGTTGTTTATATATCCTATCGACTTGGGATGTTTGTGTGCGCACACGGAAGCGCGCGTGCAGGGGGTGTTATACAGGAAGCAGTAGACGCAAAATGTATTTTTAGATAATACAATTTTATATGTACTTTTTTTTCAGAAAACACTCCTTTCCATTATTGCAGCACAGTTACCACCAATAGGAGCCGCCTTCCTGCAATTCATAAATCCCCTCCTATTCCTTTCAGATGATAATTCTAGTGTTGGGCTCTATTCTGAAGGGCTCAAGTCAATACATAAAAAAATCATCTATTGGATTTCGAATACAAAGCCAATAATATTTTAAGGAACTATAGAACAAGAACAAGGTAAAGGATTTAATTTTTTGAGTACAGGCAGTCCCCAGGTTACGTACAAGATAGGGACTGTAGGTTTGTTCTTAAGTTGAATCTGTATGTAAGTCAGAACTGGCGGTCAGTTTCAGCAGCGGCTGAATCTGGACGCCAATTCCGACTTACATACAGATTCAACTTAAGAACAAACCTACAGTCCCTATCTTGTACGTAACCTGGGGACTGCCTGTACTCAAAAAATTAAATCCTTTACCTTGTTCTTGTTCTATAGTTCCTTAAAATATTATTGGCTTTGTATTCGAAATCCAATAGATGATTTTTTTATGTATTGACTTGAGCCCTTCAGAATAGAGCCCAACACTAGAATTATCATCTGAAAGGAATAGGAGGGGATTTATGAATTGCAGGAAGGCGGCTCCTATTGGTGGTAACTGTGCTGCAATAATGGAAAGGAGTGTTTTCTGAAAAAAAAGTACATATAAAATTGTATTATCTAAAAATACATTTTGCGTCTACTGCTTCCTGTATAACACCCCCTGCACGCGCGCTTCCGTGTGCGCACACAAACATCCCAAGTCGATAGGATATATAAACAACCATATGCATGTTCAATAAACAAGAAGTCATGCTTTTGTTTAAGTAGGTAGCCAGGCATTGCTATAGAGCCTATAGTACACTCCAACATAGTGCAGAGTGGTGAATACCGTGCTGTTAGAGATGATACATAAAACTCAAGTCCCGACTTCATGGCTATTTAAATCCCTCCAGTGCTTTATGTAAAAGCAAAGGGTGAATGTACTCAACTTTTAATTGGGTAAACTCTTCAAAGGGACTGGGCTGGAATGGAATCACTCATTCTTTTTCCAGCTCTCTGACTTTGTGTGCTTCTATTTCCCCATCTGTAAAATTAAGGTATTTTCCTACCCGTTAAGGATGAGCTGCTTAATTCATCCATGTAGGTAAAGTGCTTTAGGATCATTAGCTGAACTGTGCAATAGAGGTGTGAGTACTATTGCCAAAATTGATGCTGATCATTCTATTTCTTTTCCATAGGTTTATAAAATTTCCCCAAAATTCTCTTTCTTGGTGACATCAGGTCCTTTTGTTTACACGGCAATAGCTGTCATAAACGTGCTTATGAACAGCAATCTTCTTCAAGGTCAGGCACCTGTAATCCTGTCACTGCAGCCTTCTTTCACCATGCCAGAGCCCAGGTTCCAAGCTCGCACAGGTGAGTTCTGGGAGAGGGAGGGGGAGAGGGGGAGGGGGAGGAACGAACGCACACACACCTTAGTATTGATACAGACTCTGTTCTTGGCAAGAGGTGAATGCAATGTTGTGTTCTTCTCCTTAATTTGTGTTATAGCCAGTGATGTCTCTAGCAAAGTCAGTGTATGGAGAGTGTGCACTTTTACCATGCTTTAATAATTAGTAGTTTTATTATGGTGGAAAATTCCAGATCTACCTTTATCTTTGCTGGCTACTTACCATTTGCAGACAGTTCCAGGGGAAATACAGAACCCTGAACAAGGGTCTCAGCAGGTACATAAAGGAGAAAATGTTTTTTATTTTCTTTAAAATGTTTAATTTTATTTTGCATATAATTTAATATTAAATTACACACATACACACGTGCAGGTGCTGTGCGCACACATTATACATAATGTATGCATGCATATTAAGTTTTGTTCAAAGGTGCCAGACTGGTCTCTCTGGCTGCATGGTAGACCAAAGCTGAAGGCTTTCAATCAAACTGAACATTAGACTTCACTATCTACAAAGAAGGTTGCTGCTGGTCCTCTTTTTAAAAATGTTCATAGAAATCTTGGATAATTCAAGGGATTCCAGAGCTTCAGATAACTGACTCATATTAGAGTCATATAACACTAGTTGTTTGCAGCTGGGATCTCTTTGGTAGCCTATAATAAGTAGTGGATTTTGAATCTTTTGACAGCAGGTAGGCCTGATTGTCATATCAGATTTTTGTGACAAAATAACTTTGTGCTTCAATCCAGAACAACTTCTGCAGTTATTAATTTCTTGAGCAATGCTGTTTGGACTTTCAGTTGCTGTGAGTGCAGCCTGGATTTCATGGAAAACTAATTCATTCATGGAGTGGGAGGGATTCCTCCTTCCCTACTCTCTCCTTTTAGTGCAGATATGGCACTCATATCTGGGAATAACATATACTCTTTATCTTCAGTTCTTCAGTTTGTGCCTCAAAACGTTGATATTGGGTTCTGTAACTTCAGCCAGCACATTGAGAAAGGGCTGACAATGGCATTCATGGAGGCGAGAAAACATCAGAGTATCCACAATGTCACAGTGCAGGTAAGAATGCTAGCATGCACTGAGGAAAATACCTCCCTTCCTTTTGGCTTGCAGTTGTTTTTCAGCATGTCATTAATATTAGATGAGGTATAGACTGCCTACATTTGGTTTGCTAGGCCATGTAGAACTTGATGTCCTTTCATATTAGCTGTGTGCGCTTTTTTTAACCAAGAAGTTCACTGTTCCATCACATGTTTTCAATGGATGATCCAGTGGTGGGAGTATATTGAGGATATTTAATAGAAGTTAAGATTTTGGGGTTCCACAGTTTATCAGTGTTTACACCAGGGTTACTTGCCCTTAAAATTCATTGGATATAAACTCTGAACAGATTAATAAGACGTTGCCTTTTTTTCCTGAAAGCTTATTTATTCTAGGTGCTTTTGCTGTTCCTTACCTGTTCTGGCCTTGTCTTTCAGATACTGAATATAACTCTGAGCAAGCCTCAAATGGCAATTCGGCAGGGCCCCGTGAACATTGTCTTTGCCATTAAGGATACATATGGATTCTTGAATGGATCTGAAGTCAGTGAGCTCCTGAGGAACCTGTCTGTGGTGGAGTTCAGTTTCTACTTGGGCTTTCCTGTGCAGCAAATTGCCGAACGTGAGTAGTTAATGGTCACAAAGATTGCAGAAAACTGATTTTGTGTGGTTATCTTTGTAGTTTCACCATAATCTTCCACTGATATGTTAAAAAACATTAATTTCCTTAGCTTCTAATTTGGTTTTTCCATACCAATCTATATAACAATGCCTCTGATCATATATGCTTGACCCTGTGCAACTGTGACTGCGCTTAACCATGCCTGTGACTCTAGTATCAGCTCAGTTTTCAGTTTGCAATGGGAGGGGATGAAGAAGCGAAATTGGAATGCTTGTCTACACACAGCTAAGACTTCTGCTTTGCCTGTGAGAGAAGAAAATTAGATTGTCTCATTTCTGGCTGTGGTCTCAATCTCTCAAATATGCATGTCTTATTGTCACTTAGTCCTATCGTTCTTAGCTTGGTATGCACTTGACCCCAAATTTTAAAATGTTAACACCCCAACAAGTCTGTGTTTGACAGGACCGAGAGGGCATTATGATTTATTTCTGATTGAGCTACAGCTTCTGATACCTAGGTAATATTATGGACTATGGCTTTCTGGCTTGAAAGCTATATCTGATCATACAGAGTAGTCCTAGATTAGTTCACCATCAGTCCTGACTGTTAATATGTGTGCATTGTCACTGTGGCCATGAATGTTTTGTTTCTGACCCTGCCTGTTGGGAATAGGGGCTGATAAGCTTCTGTACTTGGGTCATTCATTAGTTTTTGAATCAAATCCTTCACTACATTATATTCATGGCTGGTTGCTTTGTTTAATTTCTTTGCTGAAAACCCATATCCTGATGCTTCAGTGCTATAGGATAATGAAATGAGAACAGAATGTATACCCAGAGCAATATATCCTGAAAGACATGCTGCCTGGTGATTAGAAACCTTATAAAGCATCCAAGAGCTCTATCCTTTGTTTTGGATTTTATAGTATGTACATGTAATTTTAAAAATAGCCTTTTTAGCTCCATGAGGCAGGGACTGTCTGATAGGCTATGCCCACACAGGAAAATATCCTATGGCAGAGAGCTTTAGAGCACAGGTTAGTGGATTCATGCTCATGCTGTGGGCTTAGGTTCATGCTAAAATTAGCAGTGAAGCTGTTCAGGGTCAGTCTGGAGTCTGGGCTTTGAGATCATGCACCCTCACTGGATTTCAGAGCTTGGGTTCCAGACTGAGGGCAAGTATTGCTATTTGTAGCTCCACAACACAAGCCACACAATACCAAGCCAGTTGCTTTGGGCTCTGAGACTCCCTGCTTTTTTTCTCCCTTCTCTCCTGCGTGTGACCCCCGACTGATTTTTCTGCAGGTCAGCAGGCCAGCACCCAAAAAAGGTTCCCCAATCTCTGTGTGCGTGCACAAAGCCTAGTATAATGGGATTGTTTCCTGATGGGGGCCTCTAGGAGCTACTGTAATTCAAATAAAAATGCAAATAAGGTAGGGCAGTGTTTCTTAACCTAGAGCCCTGCGGGGGCTGAGGGGGGGAGGAGAACGCCATGACACAGCACCGTCCCCCCTCCCACATCCTGCACAGCAAGCAGGAGGCTGCCAGGGGCAAAGTTCCACAGCAGAGGGCAGGAGTAGCATGGCAGTGGGTGGAGGGGCAACTGAAGTGCCAGTGCTTGATAGTTTCCTGGACAAACCAGTCAGGATCACCTGTCAGAGGCTGCAAGATGTACTGGTAGATCCCGATCTGCTGGTTAGTGAGCACTGCTCTAGTCTCTACCCTAGTAAGGAGGAGCGGATGGAAGATAAAATGTAAGGATAGGATCTGATGCCAAGCAGTCAAATGAAATAGAGTCCCTTTCAGTTATATCACATATAGGGTTGCCAGGTGTCCAGTTTTCTACTGGACAGTCCGGTTTTTGGGCCCTCTGTCCAGTAAAAAAAATCCAGAAAATACCGGACATGTGCAATGTCCGGTATTTTCTGGTTTTCCGGCTGAGCGCCAGATGGAAGCCTGGATAGGGTGGGGGAAGTGTCAGGAAGGCAGGGCGCAATAGACACTGGGAGCCTCTGGTTGCGTGTGAGGAGGAGGAGGAGGGGCAGCCCAGTCCATGCTCCTGTGCGCTGCTCAAGCGTGTGTTGGAGCTGCAGCTGGACTGACTCATGCAGGACCGGCGCACCCTGAGATCTGCACAGCCCGCGTCAGTCCCGGCGGCTGATTCGCTCCCCCGCCCCCTCCTAGCTGGCCGGTTGGTTGATTCTCCCCAACTTCTCCTCCTGGTCTTCCCCGGCTAGTCCCTCACCCCCACTGCACCCCTGCCAGCCCTGCTTCCAGAGGCCAGTTCTCCCCTCCTTCTCCTCCTGAGCTCCCCTGGCCAGCTCCACCCCCCGCTGGCTGCCCCCTCCTGATATCCCATGGCCAGCCCCCTTCCACCCTCCCCAACACCCAGAGCATGAGATGAGTTGTACAGGCCTCAGCACTGTCTCTTGGCTTATCACCCCCATACTAGGCTGCACAGAAGGGCTGCGTTGGTGGCCAGTATTTTGTACCCCTTAGATTTCTGCACAGTCACAGGGATCCTGCCTTACCTAGACCAGGGCTCAACAGGCAGCAGGGTGATGGGCTCCCCGTCACACCCCCAGTTGGAGGCAAGTGTCTCTTGTGTGCTGGCAGTGGAGTGGGCATGTGCCATGCCAACATCTGGCAGGTAGCAGCTGGACAGCCTGCACCGCTCCCCGGCCCTGGCCGGTCCCTCCTCCCGCCCCTCATGAAGCATGTCCGGTATTTTTTTTATGACTACCTGGTAACCCCAATCATAGAATGGCATCAAGCTAAAAAATGACAGTTTTAAAAGTATTTCTGTACAAATGGTAGACATCTTTAAGTACTAAGAACAGTTACTGTGTTGCAGCCATAGCATTGTAGAATTGTAATGCAGATGCCTCTTACAGTGATCAAAGAGGTTTTTCTGTTGTTGTAGGTAATCCACCTCTCAGAGCGGTGGTAGCTAGTTTGACTGAAGAATTCTGACCAGAACCTAGCTGAAGCTACATGAGGATTACGTTAATCTAACTATAATGCTCTGAGAGTGTGAATTTGCCACATTTCCTGGAGTGATGTATCTTCGATCCTGTCCTTACAAGGGAGAGACTGACTTAGATTGACTTAAGTTTCAGGTATAGGCTAGGCTCTGATTTTAACTGTAGTATAGTGGATGAGCGGAGATGAGATTGGGTATTGATACAAAGTGTTCATGGTGCCATCAGCCAATTTGATTTAGACAGCCGTAGAGGTGCTTGAGCTGTGGCACTGTTGAACAATTGACAGGGCAGTTCTACACTACAATCTTACATTGGAATACCTTAGTATAACTACACTATTATACCAACCTAACCCTCCATGTAGATAGTGCCAAGGCACTGAGACATCTGCTCCTGTAGACACAGCTACCAGCTCTTGTGGGGGTGGCTTAACTACACTGGTGGGAGATGCTCTTCTGTCTCCTAGTAGCATCTTCACTAAACCATGTGTAGTGAGCAGGGATGGCTGCTCACTCACCCTGAGGAAGGAGAACCCCTCTCTGAGCCCAGATGGGCTAAGCTGGAGTTTGCCCTTTTAAGACGCAACCAGTGGGAGGGGCAGGAAATATAAAAGCCAGGCCCAGAAGCCGGCTGTTAGAGGGAGCAGAGGCCTACCCTGAGAAGACTGAGGAGCCGGCTGGGGCGGATGCCTGGCCTGGACCACCAGGCCCTGGCCTGGAGGATGAGACCCTTTTCGCCCTACATCTAGTCTGGGACCATACAGACCCTGGGGACCTGCTCTGACCAGGGGAACAGGTACAACCAGAGGAGGAGTCTGGAAGTGGCCATAGGGAAGAACGGATGATCACGTGGATCTGATCACCCTTTAAGCTGGGTCAGCGGGCTTTGGTATGGATTCCCTGCTGACCCCAGTGGCTGTCAGGCTGCCACTGCTAGAGCCTTGGGCTGGGACATGGTGGAGTACAGAGGGCCCATGTCCTCCCTGCCACCCGTGCATGTGGCAGTCTCCTCCTTTCCACTTGTGCTGCAGAAACTGTTTGTGTGTCTTCCCCTGAACCAGGGCCTGGGTCGCCATTTTGACTGTGGGGAATTGTTCGTTTGTTGTCCCACCTTCTGGCCCTGTTTTTAAAAGGGCCACCGGGCTAGGACGTACAGGCCCGAGCACTGGGCAGGGACTCAGGACCAAACAAGAACTCTTACACCATAACAGTGGCACAGCTGCAGCAGTGCAGTGTTTTAAGTGTAGACCTGCCCTATGTTTTCCTGATCCTTTCATGTATCCTTTGCAAGGTTTTCAGCCCAGGGCTTCGCAGCTGAAGGATTAGAGTACTTTTTCCATTGTACCATCAAGATCAGGTTATCAAGGATTTGTTTTAGGTTTCTAGTCCAGTTAATTCTATAAGATGAGTATTAAGCATACATTAACTTATTTTCAATCGCTAATTGTAAAAAAGGACATTACATTGAGTGTCAAAACACAAGTCACCTTGCTTAAAGAAAGTAATTAAATACTCTTAAGAGTTCAACTTTTTATTTGCCATTGGCAGATGGTTAATTGTCTTGTGATCTTGTTCTTCCTGGGCTTTGGAAAACACCAGTGCAGTTGCAGTTTACACATTTTTTGCAACATGATTATTTTTAGATTAAGGTAAGTGAATACATTACCAGAGCAAAGAGATCTCCAACCTTTTAGCTCAGTAATTTCCACACTTCTGTACCCTTTCAGCAGTCTGATTTGTCTTTCATACCACCATATTCCACTTCACTTAAAAGCTACTTGCTTACAAAATCAGACATAAAAATACAAGTGTCACAGCATGCTATTACTGACAAGTTGCCCACTTTCTCATTTTTACCATGTAATTATAAAATCAATTGGAATATAAGTATTGTACTTACTTTTCCAAGCACAGTGTCTATATAGAGCAATATAAACAAGCATTGTCTGCATGAAATTTTAGCATGTACTGACTTCACTAATGCTTTTTATGTAGCCACTGTGAAATTAAGTAAATATCCAGGCGAGTTGATGTATCCCCTGGAAGACCTATGCATATTCCCATGGGCACTTGTGCCACTGTTGAGAACCACTGTATCCACTCATCCTTTGTTTTAGAAGAACTCTACGGCTCTCTCTCAATATAGTATGTAAAAAGCAGAGCACTTCCTATTTGTACGTTGCAAGTGGAATTTTTAGAAATTTATGTAAAATCTAATTCAAATGCATAAATAGCCATATTCTGGTACCCTTACACACATTGACCACTCCTGTATTTCACAGTAGTGGCCCTATTGCAGTATCAGTGCCACTATTTGTGGAGCGCAAGATGCTTCTAAATTGGAATGAGGTTGTCAGCAAATGTTGAATTTGAAGCCAGGTGTTTTTTTGCATAGTGACATTTAACTTAAACAGAAGAAACTAAAGAGTAAATTATTTCACTGTAGAGTATGAAAGCGCACTGTGAAAAAATGAAGTTTAGGAGAAAAGTGCTATATATCTAGAGAGGCTCTTCTGCTTTTGCATTAGGGGAGAGGCTTTTTGTAGTAAGTCACCAAGTTCTGGAAGGTGACATTTATGAAAGCAACTATAGTGTACTTAGAGAGAAGCCTTAGCCTTAGCTTTCTACTTTGCAAATGAGACACACAAAGTAAATTAGAAAGTTAATAATTGATTTGTTTCTTTGAGTGCCTACAATAGTAGCACTGGAACTAATTATAGTGTAGTGTTTAGAACACAGAATTGGAAGTCAGGAAATCTTGATTTTTATTCTTTACTCACCTTGTGACATAGGCCAGTTTAATTGTGTGTGTCTCACTCTCTCCATCTTTAAAATGGGTTTAAAAATTAGTCTTTGTTAAACACTTTAAGAACTTTAGATGATTCATGGAAAACTTTGACAAAGTTTTGCCTGCCTCCTCATTCCTTCCATGAAGTTTCTATCTCTTTTCAGAAAAACTAGTCCCAGCCTCTGACTTTACATATTCATCAATGCCTCTTTACTCCAGTGAGGAATCTGGGGTGAAATCCTAGACCCACTGAAGCTGATGGAAGTTTTTTCATTAACACGAAGCCAAGATTTCGCCCCTGAAGCTTAGGTTTTCCAGGAGGCTAGTCATTTTGACAAAACTTGGGCTGTTGAACAAAATAAAACCAAATAGCCACAGGATTTTTGTATGGAATTAATTTATGATTTTCATAAATCCAATTTGATCTTCATAGCTTTTAATAAAAACAATGAGGAGCCTTGTGGCACCTTAGAAATTAACAGATTTATTTGGGCATAAACTTTTGGTGTTAAAACTTGATTCAATGCATCTGATGAAGTGTTTGTTACCCATGAAAGCTGATGCCCAAATTAATCTGTTAGTATTTAAGGTGCCACAGGATTCCTCGTTTTTGTAGATACCAACTAACACGACTACCCCTTAGACAATTTTTAAGATATAGGTTATTTTATTATCACTTGGAATACAAAGTAGGTACATTCAGTTTTCTCTTTTACACTTAAATCTTAACATTTCCTATCTGAAAGAATGAGATGCTCCCTTCCTCAAAAAGCCATGAATGAGTTCACCTAGAATCATCCACTGTACAGTGTTAGCAAGCAAAATACCATCTTCCAATGAAGACAAATTAGTGAAACAGGCTTTCCCTAATATTTCCAGTGGCAAAGCTCTTGGGGTTTAGGTTAAATATTTTAGGTAAGTAATCTGACCTCTTAACTCAGACATAGGAACCAAAAAAAGTGTGTCGAGAGCAATGTCTTTTTGTCACTTACATATAGTACTAGAGTTATATCGTCAACTAAGATGTTTATTGACAATGTGAATTATGAAACAGCCTCTTTTCTTGTTTTGTGCTATCAAGTATACAGTTTTTACAGATGATGTTTTCTCCCCTATCCCATTTTTCCCTGCAGCCTTTCGTTATCCTCAACTCAATGTGTCTCAGTCAATGAAAACTTCCTGGGTGAGAACAGGTATGTACATTATATAATGGTAGATAATTGTGTGATCATTTTTGTTAGCTAGGACCTGGATAATGTGATATTCGAGGTAACTACTATATTTAGGTCTGAATAAACTCCAGAATCAAAGAACAAATAACCTGGAACTGCAGGGAAATGCACTTTTTGTGCACAGAATGAACTGTTGCAATTCCTTGTTTATTGACTCAAAAATTAATTTATATTTAAAATGCAGTTCATTTAGAGTACAGTATCACAAATCAGGTATACAGAGGGTGCAGTCTACACTAACTGATATTTAATTTTGATTTTTTAAATGTTTTTTTTACTTTTAATATTTGATTTATTTATGGTACCTCACACAGAAAGGCTATGTCACAGAATGCAAAGAGATGGCATATAACTTAAATAATTTTAGAGACTGTAATGCAGCTCCATTTCCATTTCCTCCTAATTAATTCCTAGCAAATCTCTCTAGTTTAAGCTAACTGACCTAATTTGCTCTGAATATAATCCTAAACCAGTAGGAGGTCATGCTTTCAGTAACTATGCTCTTCAAGTGTAGAATATATTTCCTGCTATTATTTGTGATTCTCAATCTATTTGAATTTTAAAAAGGTGAAAATATTCTCTTCTATTTATTGTTCTTTATCACTGATCATTTATATTGCTGTTTAATTCTGAGGTACTTCATTTGTGATGAGAGCTGGTAGAAAGATATTTATTTTTTGTGGTTAAATATCTGGGGGGAGAGGGGAACCCAGAATTTCCAGGGAATTTTTTTCAATTGAAAAACTGAAACAAAAATGCTAATTTTGAGTATTTTAAAATAATTTTGACTTCAGAAGAATCCAAAAAGATACAAACATTGTACTGAATATCCAATCAAAAATGAAAATTTTAGCTAAAAATATAAACAATTTTGTTGAATTTTTAGTAAAATCTTTTTTAGTTTTTTAACTTAAAAAAAAATTGACCAGAAAAAATTGACCTCTGTGAAAAATTTTCTGCACTTTCATAAAAAAAGTTTTCACCAGCACTGTTTGTAAATTATATTTTGATTCATTCATTTCTGTTGCTAAAAAGGACACAGATTGAACTTCTGTAGTCCAGCACCCTCGGGACCTGATTTGTACAGCTTTGGGACTGATCAGAAACTAACACCATTTTATGTGGCTGAATCAGATTCAGTTAAATCATAGGGGTGGAATAAGTAATGGGAGTCATCTTAGAAGGCAAGGGAGTGAAGCAGTGGTCCCTCTAGCCCTGGAGGGAGTAAGAGATGTGAATGCTAGTGGGAAGGGGGTCATTTTAGAAGGTAAAATAAAAAAAGAACAAGTTAAAAATCACCTAGAAAAGTTAGATGCCTGCAAGTCACCAGAGCCTGATGAAATGCATCCTAGAATACTCAAGGAGCTGATAGAAGAGGTATCTGAGCCTCTAGCTATCATCTTTGGAAAATCATGGGAGACAGGAGAGATTCCAGAGGACTGGAAAAGGGCAAATATAGTACCCATCTATAAAAAGGGAAATAAGAACAACCCAGGAAACTACAGACCAGTTAGTTTAACTTCTGTGCCAGGGAAGATAATGGAGCAAGTAATTAAGGAAATCATCTGTAAACACTTGGAAAGTGGCATGGTGATAGGGAACAGCCAGCATGGATTTGTAAAGAACGAATCATGTCAAACCAATCTGATAGCTTTCTTTAATAGGATAACGAGTCTTGTGGATAAGGGAGAAGCGGTGGATGTGGTATACCTAGACTTTAGTAAGGCATTTGATACAGTTTCACATGATATTCTTATCAATAAACTAGGTAAATACAACTTAGATGGGGCTACTATAAGGTGGGTGCATAACTGGCTGGGTAACCCTACTCAGAGAGTAGTTATTAATAGTTCACAATCCTGCTGGAAAGGTATAACAAGTGGGGTTCCACAGGGGTCTGTTTTGGGACCGGCTCTCTTCAATATCTTCATCAACGATTTAGATATCGGCATAGAAAGTACGCTTATTAAGTTTGCAGATGATACCAAGCTGGGAGGGGATAGGTTCATAATTCAAAATCTGGAGGATAGGTTCATAATTCAGAATGAGCTGAACAAATTGGAGTAATGGTCTGAGGTAAACAGGATGAAGTTTAATAAAGACAAATGCAAAGTGCTCCACTTAGGAAGGAACAGTCAGTTTCACACATACAGAATGGGAAGTGACTGTCTAGGAAGGAGTACGGCAGAAAGGGATCTAGGGGTTATAGTGGACCACAAGTTAAATATGAGTCAGCAGTGTAATGCTGTTGCAAATAATACATCCCAGAATCATGTTTGCTTTAACAGGTGTGTTGTGAACAAGACACGAGAAGTCATTCTTCCACTCTACTCTGCGCTGGTTAGGCCTCAGTTGGAGTATTGTGTCCAGTTCTGGGCACTGCATTTCAAGAAAGATGTGGAAAAATTGGAGAGGGTCCAGAGAAGAGCAATGAGAATGATTAAAGGTCTAGAGAACATGGCCTATGAGGGAAGGCTGAAGGAATTGAGTTTGTTTAGTTTAGAAAAGAGAAGATTGAGGGGGGACATAATAGCAATTTTCAGGTATCTAAAAGGGTGTCATGAGGAGGGAGAAAACTTGTTCATCTTGGCCTCTGGGAATAGAACAAGAAGCAATGGGCTTAAACTGCAGCAAGGGAGGTTTAGGTTGGACATTAGGAAAAAGTTCCTAACTGTCAGGGTGGTCAAAAACTGGAATAAATTGCCCAGGAAGGTTGTGGAATCCCCATCTCTGGTGATATTTAAGAGTAGGTCAGATAAATGTCTATCAGGGATGGTCTAGACGGTATTTGGTCCTGCCATGAGGGCAGGGGACTGGACTCGATGACCTCTCGAGGTCCCTTCCAGT